CCCCCCCCCCCCCATAGTTCTCCTTTAACTCTTCCAAGATCAAGTGTAGTATCTGTTCTTATCAGTTTTCGGTGGGGAAAAGAGCCGTCCTTGCGGATGGTTACTTACCGGTAGTACTTGCTGGAGTGAAAGAGCGTGTGGGGCGGCTTCCTGTGAGAGGGGAACAGCCCAGTACAGGCTTTCTGACTGAATGGATACGAAGCTTGGTCTGGCTGGAGGGCTGGGGGCGGCAGAAGCCCGTGGTGTTGTGCCCCCTGGGGGTGGCGTCCCAGGGCTGATCAGAAAATCACTAGGGTGTGGGACCCCACAAGTGATTCACTGTGCACTAGGACACAACACCATATTGTTTTTTTCTGCACTTTGCCTCCAAGACAGGCCTTATGGCTTGTCTGGGGCAATATTTTTTCCACTTTAGCTTTATTTAAGCACTCTATGCACGATACACTATTGGCACTTTTTTCTTTTAAATTTTGACCCACAGATTGCTTAGGGTGCAGGTTCCTTCGGGGCCTTTTCCCGATGTGGGGGGGAGATTCTGTGCCCTTATACAGGGTTCTCTGTCTCCTCCCACCTCTTCTGGAGAGCCCCCTGCCTAGCACTGTGAAGGACCTGTTTCGGCAGGTCCCCAAAGGATCGGGGTCCGCCCGCCTTCGGGTTGGTGGACCAACAGTCTCAACCCCTGTCAGGAGCCTTGCTCCCCGGGGGGGTCGGGAATCGAGTTCGCTTCTTTTGAAGGACCAAGCACCCTTGTGCACGTTTTTGTGTGCTGTGATTTCACGGTTCACTTTTTTTGTTCACAGGGGGAAGTTTGTTTCGATGCACGTCCACGGGAAAAAAAAAAAAAATAATTTATAATACTCAATTTTTTTAATCCAATCAGTAATGGTGGGTGACGTTGTTTTATTCCAATGCACGGGAATTAAGGCCTTAGCTGCATTAAGGCATATAGGCAGGGGCGAATTTGCCGCAAGGCAAACAAGGCGTTTGCCTTGGGCGGCACTCCCCAGGGGGGCGGCGAAAATGTCGCAGCCCGGCAGCCTCATGAAGTAACAGGGGAATCGGATACCAGGAGGAAGCAGCGAGGGGATGGTGAGCCGGAGGCGGCGGGGGACGGTGAGCAGGGGGCAGCAAGGGACGTGAGCCGCAGGCGGCGGGGGATGGTGAGCAGGAGGCAGCAAGGGACGTCAGTAGAAGGGGGCGGGTCCGGGACGGTGAGAGTTGCCCAGTTTCTTGGCGGTGGAATAAGGTCAAGCATTGGTGGAGTCTATGGTGGGCTCTGCGGGGTCTATGGTGGGCTCTGCAGCCTAAGACCCTGCACAGCCCACCGTAGAGCCCACCACAGATCTTGCAAAGCCCACCTGAGACCCCAGCTTTCCTGCTAAGCTAATAGCGGAATATGTCTAAAGCTGGATACAGCGTGTGTGCTGTATCCAGCTACTGACAGGTTAGGCAAAAAGTCTTAAACAGGAAGGGTTGGGGCAAATTTAGTGGGGCGGGGCAAATTTAGTGAGGGGAGGGGCACCTGAGTTTCGGCTTGCCTAGGGCAGCCCCAAACCAAAATACACCACTGCATATATGAACTAATGTTCTTTTATAACTCGACATTGTTATATCTGTTACGTGGAGAAGGCACGCCAACGGATTGTTAGATATAGTTATATTCGTAATTTGTTTAATATACTTAACCACTTGGGTCCAAGACAGTTTGAGTTTGGGGCAGTGCCACCAAATATGCAAGTAAGTACCCACTGCCCCACATCCCCTCCAACATTCTTTCGGTTTAGATGGGTGCATCTTATGTATCCGATCTGGTGTATAATACCACCTAGCTAAAAAAACGGAAGGTTGTATCTGTCACTAACGTACTAATTGACAGGACAGCATGAGCCCTAAGGGTTTGTTGTTTACGTGAGTCAGTCCATTTAATTTGAAGTTCCTGTTCCCACCTCATGAGGTAATCTGGAAATAATTGGGTACTAAGCCCAAGAATAATTGCATAAAGTCGTGAGATGCCATGTCTCGGATAATCTGATCAAGAGAACAACCTCTCCAGTGGCAAGAGTTCTCTATCAGAGCGTATTGGTTTTCGGAAGTTTAGTCACGAAGTGATGCAGTTGTCTATATCGCCATGTATCAAAGGGGAACACCCCCCATTGATTTTGGAGTCTTTGTAATGTGTAAATATGTTTTCTGATACCGTACATGGCAGCATACAATGGGTATGGCTCTGCCCCCAGCCCAATCACAGGACCAGTTATACTATAAATTAAAGCCCGCCTCCCAAGGCCACCATTCTTTTTTCTGTCCTCACTGCTCAAGCCGGTTATACTAAGAATAGGTTGGAGTTTTTGCCCTCACCTTGCTGGTTTCTTCTGGCCTGCCGCACAGGTTCAGCCTCTCCTGTTGCGAAGTTCCCTTTGTTCAGGTGGCTAAATGCAGTCTGATAAGGGAAGCCTCCCCCATAGCCTTGGAGTTTGGGTGCAGGAAATGGTCTCTCTTCATGTTCGGATGCTTCCTCCATCATGGCGGCGGGTTGAACACTAGCTTAGCCTCCTGGCCTTGTGACTCCAGAGAAGAACCGTGACTTAGCTGCATCATCACAAACTAGGGTTGTACTTGGATGATCACACGCATGGACAAGCTGACAAGTAGGATCCACTCCATTTATTTCAAAGTTTCAATGTTTTCATGTGTGGTCCAATACAAAAATCCGCTATTATGCAGCCCCGGTGGAAAATAAGAGTGGCCCGTTAATCACTGATAACACTAAACTGATGAGCAGTAAAAGCTTTTAAAGCGTCGCCTATGGCCAACTTTAGGTATTGTAGTTTTTTGCGATTTCGCGGGCTCGCGCAAATTTTAAAGCTCGGCATGTTTGGTGTTTATTTACCCGACGTGACCCCATCTATCCGTCCCCCCAAAAATGGTATACAATTCATGGTATAAAATACCTCAGCGCTGAATACTGAATACTGAAAAATGGCCGGGACAGGAAGGGGGTGTAACTCCCCGGTCAGCAAGTGGTTAATGCTAACAAAAAAAAATGGTGGCTGCAAGAACCAGAAAGAGGTAGTTGGCTTCCAATGACATCACAAGAGAAGATGGAGGTGTTGGACCTGGTGTGCAGCAGCAGTTCACTACAAAACACCACTGGATTCACTGAGTGACATATTGTGTGCTCGGCCCTGAGTCTACTTGCTCCTTTCCTGCAGAGTAAGAGGCAGTGGCGGAACTACCACCATAGCGGTCGCTACGGTGCCTGCGGCACTGGGGGGGGCCCGGATCCCAGCTGCTCTCCCCCGCTTGTATGGGCTGAGGCAGCGGAGATCTGGGGAAAAAATGAACGGCGGAAGAGCCGCTGCAGTCCTGAAACTGACAGGAGGACAGCGGCTCCGCTCTCCTTCCCGCCTGTCGCTCGTTCACGATTTATTTATTTACAATACTTTGTTTCCTGGGTAATCACGCCTGTACGTAAGCGCGGATACTGGGTCGGCGTTCTCGGCAGAACACCGGCACTAACATTTTAAACAAGCGGCTGCCTGAGGTCCCGCGTTTGTTGGGGACCTCGGGAGCCTTCCTGTTAACCATGCGGTGCCATGGCGGTAGGGGGTTGGGGGGGCGGGCCCTGCATAGTTTCTTGCACCGGGGGCCCTGAAGGTTCTAGTTACGCCTCTGGTGACGCCTCTGTTGGAGTGTCTCACAAATGGAGTCCATGAGAGATATCCTGTAGATAATCAATATGATTTGCCCCTTGCCACCTCCGTGCAAACCTGGATTGTAAGGGTTGTGGTGGAGATACACTTTGAAGTTCATGTATGGCCCAAACTTTTTTTCCATTTTGGATGAAGTCGGGAAGTTTTTTGTCTGTGTGTGTCCGCTGGGTAGATTCCTCCTCCCTATTGGTCCTGGTGACCATTGTCACCGACACAGAAAGTGACGGGGAACCTACAATGTCAGACTTTGCAGCAGTACAAGAGCTGAAGGTAAATCTTCCAATTGGGACACCGACTGGTGACAACTGTCTAAGAGGGAACCTCACTTTGTACAGATTTACTCTCACTTCTGTTGCATCTCCGGGACAGGAAGTGAAGGAAAATCTCCCCAATGGTACACAAAGGGGAAAACAAATAACTGACGTGGGTTTTAACGCTTCCCTACTCCATCCAACGCTGATAGAAATGTATAATTTCATGACCAACTAAAGGTCTTATTTCTAAAATCAAAGAACAACTCCATCTCCTTTACGTCTATGTTGTATATGGAATCATTGTCAGTGGTTTGGTCTACACAAACCTCATCATTCTAAAACCAAATATCAAAACCAGCTCTAGGCCATTCCGATATGTTATTGCTGCGAGATAACATTGTGTTTTATTTTCTCTACATTTAGGTGAATTTCCGTGGAACGCTCTGAATCATGAGAATGATATTTTTGCACACTGCCGCCCTCCTGTGGATCCTCTGCGGTGTCTCTGCTCAGTGTAAGAAGCACTGGTCCTGTCTGCTCAGAACTTCCATTGTAACAGGCTGACATTATCATTAGGGATACACACTGACACTGATACTTGTATTGGTGCCAATATCGAGTATTGGGGCGAGTTCTCATACTCACCCAAATGCTCCGATACTTACCTCCGATACTGACAGAGCAGTGCCGGGGAGCATGAAGCTAGCTTCCTTTCCAATCAGGAAGCCAGGTGGTGGGTTATGGCCTGCCTCCCAGCTTCTGATTGGTCAGGAAGCCAGGCTGCCTAGCAGCAAGTGAAGTCGGCTTCCGAGCCAATCAGGAAGCTGGGAGGCGGGTCATTACCTGCCGCCCGGCTTTCTGATTGGCTAGGAAGCCAGTTTCAATTGTTGGTAGGCAGCCTGACTTCTAACCGACCAGGAAGCCAGGCAGCACGTCATGAATTGACTCCCGGCTTCCTGATTGGTCAGGAAGCCAGGCTGCCTAGCAACAAGTGAAGCTGGCTTCCTAGCCAATCAGGAAGCTG